CTCGTGGGCGAGACGATGCGGGTGACCGCTGTGCGGACCGCGAGGACCCTTCGACGCGCGCGCAGTGCCTGCACGGTATCGAGTCTGCGCTGGCTGCCCTTGGCGTGGAGGAGAGTGAAGAGCCAGCGGCAGCGGCCATCATGAGAGCGGCTGAGGAGGCGAGAGCACGTGAAGAGGAACTGCACGACAGACTGGACGAGAGTGCAGCGCGCGGACGGGCGCTGGAGTCGAAGCTGAGCGAGCTGACGCAGGCCGCGGACACCCTGCAGCGTGCGCTGGACGGCAGCGTGCTTGCCGTTGGGGACGAGGAGGACGCGAGCGCCGCTGGGGACCGCGCGGTGGAGGCGCTGAAACGCCTGTGCGAGGACTCGGTCACCGCCTCGGCGGTAATGGGCGGCGCGATGCAGCGGAAACTGGACGACGCCGAGGCCGAGCCTCTGCTGCAGCAGTGCCGGCAGATGGCGAGCGACATGGAGGCGCTGCGCAGGAGCGAGCAGCGCTACCGCGCGCTCGTGGGCGACGACGATGCGGGTGACCGCTGTGCAGACCGCGAGGACCCTTCGACGCGCGCGCAGTGCCTGCACGGTATCGAGTCTGCGCTGGCTGCCCTTGGCGTGGAGGAGAGTGAAGAGCCAGCGGCAGCGGCCATCATGAGAGCGGCCGAGGAGGCGAGAGCACGTGAAGAGGAACTGCACGACAGACTGGACGAGAGTGCAGCGCGCGGACGGGCGCTGGAGTCGAAGCTGAGCGAGCTGACGCGGGCCGCGGACACCCTGCAGCGTGCGCTGGACGGCAGCGTGCTTGCCGTTGAGGACGAGGAGGACGCGAGCGCCGCTGGGGACCGCGCGGTGGAGGCGCTGAAACGCCTGTGCGAGGACTCGGTCACCGCCTCGGCGGCAATGGGCGGCGCGATGCAGCGGAAACTGGACGACGCCGAGGCCGAGCCTCTGCTGCAGCAGTGCCGGCAGATGGCGAGCGACATGGAGGCGCTGCGCAGGAGCGAGCAGCGCTACCGCGCGCTCGTGGGCGACGACGATGCGGGTGACCGCTGTGCGGACCGCGAGGACCCTTCGACGCGCGCGCAGTGCCTGCACGGTATCGAGTCTGCGCTGGCTGCCCTTGGCGTGGAGGAGAGTGAAGAGCCAGCGGCAGCGGCCATCATGAGAGCGGCCGAGGAGGCGAGAGCACGTGAAGAGGAACTGCACGACAGACTGGACGAGAGTGCAGCGCGCGGACGGGCGCTGGAGTCGAAGCTGAGCGAGCTGACGCAGGCCGCGGACACCCTGCAGCGTGCGCTGGACGGCAGCGTGCTTGCCGTTGGGGACGAGGAGGACGCGAGCGCCGCTGGGGACCGCGCGGTGGAGGCGCTGAAACGCCTGTGCGAGGACTCGGTCACCGCCTCGGCGGTAATGGGCGGCGCGATGCAGCGGAAACTGGACGACGCCGAGGCCGAGCCTCTGCTGCAGCAGTGCCGGCAGATGGCGAGCGACATGGAGGCGCTGCGCAGGAGCGAGCGTTGTTGTGTTGTTAATTTGTTTAATCAGCGTGCTCTGGTTTTGAGTTCGTTGTTGGTTTTGGAGGAGTTGGATGATCGTATTTCGTTGTTGTCAGAGTTGTCGTTTTTTCCAAGCATTTTGTGGAAGATTTTTGTTTCTAATTTTTCTTCAGTGTCTGGTATTTGTGCTTTATTGCGTTGTGATGCTGGCAGTATTGTTCATCAGGTGGAAGAATTGTTGGAGTCGCGGGATTATTATTGTCGTCTTGTTGGTGGTGGTGATTTTATATTGGAAACGGATGATGATGATGTTACCCGTGCGGAATGTGTTCATGCTATAAGACGTGCTGTTTCGCGTCTGGCACCAGCAATTTTGGACGATTTAACGCTGCGTCTTCCTGAGAAGCTGCAAGGAGCTGTACAAGGAATAATGCGGGATATCTCGCATATTAGGGCATCTCTGGAGGAGGCTTTGGATTCTGCGGGGCGTGCTGAAAAGGATTTGCAGACTATTGTGTCGGCGAGTGAACGAGCTTTGCTTATGTTACGAGGTGTGGATTCCTCTTCTGAGGCTGTGGATGGTGTTGTTGTGGCGAGGCCAAGCGTTTCTTTTCTTTCACGCTCCCTTTTGTCTCAGGCTGGGGAAATAACGGGCAGACTGCGTGATCTCAATGATGTGTGTGTGGAGTGCAACGCGATTGTGGGGCAGGCGCTTAAACGTGAGTGTGAGCAGCTCCAGGTTGGAGCGGAGGGCTCATTGTCTTCCACGGCGCCTATTGAGCCGGATTTTCTGCTTCTTGTCGATCATTGCAGGGAATTGGTGGCGGAGGTTTTCACACTGCGGGAGCAGCGTCGCTCAAGTCTTGCGGCAATGGAAAGGAATGTGGGGGATCATGAAGTGTTGTTGGGTGCTGTGCGGGGCTCTGTGAATGCTTTGTTGTTTGCGCTTGACAATGCCGCTTCCGTGGCGTCGCAGGGTGAAGAGGATGGTGACAGCAGTGAATCTGTGGCTAACTTGTGCGTTAGGTTGGGGTCTTGTACTCGCGCGGTCACTCGTCTTTTGCGAGAAAAGGAGCACGCTGCCTCAGCCTCGGCGAAGTTGCTGCAGGAGGCACTTTTGCCTGAGGAGGATCGGCGTAGTAGCGACAATGATGGTCTCTTTTCTCTTGCGAGCGACGTGGTGCGTGCACTGGAGGCGCGTCGTGTGGAACTGGATAGTATGGGGAAAGCCCTTGAGCAGTCACGGCATTTTGCAGAAGAATATCGGCGGCGCATGGATAAAAACTTTGCGGAACAGGATGCCGCGATGACTGCGCAGGTTCAGACGCACGCGGTGATGGAAGGGCAGCTGAAGGAGGCGACGGAGCGGCAATTACAAGCCACAGCCAGCGCGGCTAAACTTCTTCGGGATTTGTCAGAATTTGCAGGAAGTGTGGCAGCCATTACCCTGTACGGCGGCGATGTGAAGGTGGATGAGGGGGAAAGAAGTGAAGATGCGAGAGGTGCCCATAAGAAGGATGTGGTCACGTACGAGGTGAGTAGAGAGCGACTTGAAGGGATTCTGGAGAATTGCTCCACTGTCATGCGGACATTGGAGGCGGCGAAGGCCAAGGCCAAGTCGCTGTCATCCGAGGCAGAAGACCTGCGCGGAAGGCTGCGGGAAAGTGAAAACACATCACGTGAGCTGGAGTATCACTCACGCCACGCCGAGACTAAGGCTGCCGCTCGAGTCGCTGCAATGACAGAGGAGATGAATTTTCTCCGTAATGCACTGCAAGCGAAGGTGACGGAGTGTGAGAGGATTCAACAACAAGTACAGGATACCGAGCGGCGTGTGGATAGGCTACAGGCGGAGATGGCAGACAACACCAAGACGTTCGGCAGCGAGCGTGACACTTTATCAAAGGTGCATTCTTTGTTGCTTTTAGAGAACGAAGAGATGCGGCGACAACTGGAGGGGTTGCGGACGGAACAAAAGGAATTACAGAACTT